TAAGTTCTATAATATTTTTTAAACATCAAATAATTTTTTATTGAAAAAAAAAAGAAAGAAAAAGAATGAATGAACGAATGATTTACGCTTTGTTTGTTTACCTTATGATCAATCATATGAAATTTGTGAAGAATCTCTTCATTTCAATGGTATAGAAAACATTTACATTTTTTTTCTATTTTTAAATTTATTTATTTTTGAAATGCAAGTGAAAAGTATTTCAAAAATGCATGGATTTCCAATTAATAATAATATCAATGTGTGCGTATGTTTAGTCCAATATTCGACGAACACCATGTCAAGTATTTGTAAATGTTTAAAATCGCCCTCTCCATCCTCCTTTGCGTGCGTATGGATGGGGAAAGGATTGTACAGAGATAGAGAGTGGGAGAGAGACAGAGAGAGAGAGATAGGGAGACGTAGAGATAAAGAGAAACCGGTAAAATATATTTAAAAACCGCTGCATCATTTAATATTCTATCTATGCATGTATGTATGTTGTTTAGATATGATTTGTAGCACAGCAGGAAAACCAAATTAAATTTCATTATTGCGGTTTCACATGGTTTGCAATCATCGAAACGAAATTAAATAAATAATATTCCGTTGCATTTAGCATTGTTTTTAACACATATTCATAGCAATATGTCCGAAAACATCACAGCACGTGTGAGTCTATGCTCTGCTAATATTTTTAATAATATAAGTATGCGATGATGCCCGGTGTAAGTATGCTGTGCATTACAATATTATGAAATCAAGTATACCAAAAAAAAAAAAAATGTGGAAAACAAAATTTTTTACATACAAGTGTTTTTTTTTTTTTTTTTTTTTTTTTTTTTTTTTTTTTTTTTTTTTTTTAATTTTTATAGTCCTTGCAGTGAGCGGCAACAGCTAAAAGAGATTGTATGCTTCACTATTTTTTGTTTCGCACAGTAAATTTCTGTGGCATAGTTTTGTGTGGTCATGTAAAGTGTTTTCGTACACGTTCACAAACATCGACGCTTCCACTGTAACCTCAACTTTCACTCACATACATTTTTAAGCATTTTCAATATGATTTTCCAGCACATTCCTTGAGTATTTCATTTTCTGTATTTGCTTTGCTTCGAAAAAGAGTTTTTTCTTTATTTTTTTTTTTTAAGTTTCCATTGCAAGAATCGCTTGCATTTTATTCAGGAAGTCCCTCTCTCTATTGAGAAAAAAAAACATGCAAATAAAATCCTTTGTTAAATATTGACAGATCAAATATTTGTTTGAAATTGCGAAAATTAAATTTACATATTATCCAAACATTAGATGCAATAGCAATTTACAGTGACTTACAGCTAACATTCATTCTGACGTCAATAATATTTATGATTTAATCAATTTAAAAACAATTGCATAAACATATAATCCAGGATAAGCTATAGAGCAATGAAATAAAAAACCAAGTTAAAAACAAAAAGACATTTACAAGACAATTATATTCGCCTGCTGGACAGAACTTTTTATGCTCACTATCTCCGTTCTAAGGACTAGAAAATAAAACCCAGAAAAAGCAAGCTTCTCTTCGCTGTCAATTCGTGGCCAATTTTTTTTTTAAATTTTCCTCGTATGCCTATTGTAGTGTACGAGTAATAAGCGGAAAAACCTACAAAGTGGAAGAACACCTTATAGCGTCCTGTAGGCATGCCCTTTGGCCGTCTTGCCCCATTTTGAATACTAACCTTTAAGCTAAGGAACTTTTACACGATAAACACGTTTTCATGGCGAAAAGAATGTTCACCACAGACGGGCAGACGCCGAGATAGGCCGACGGACAGGGCGAGAGACGGAGAAGAAAATGGATAGATCGAGGAAGAGACAAAAGGACAGAGAGATGGGCAGATGGATAGATGGATAGACGGACAAACGAATAGAGGTGGAGGAGGACAGATGGAGGGATAGAAGGAGACGGAGAGGAATGTAGATGGGGAGAAAGTGAGAGGGAGAGGCAGTGATATGGAGAGCCGGACATGATTAAATCGATTTAGAATTGCTGCTGATCAAGTGTATATATTCCAATGGGATCTCTGAAGCTTCTCTCTGGGTATTTGGAGGTTACAAATATTTTCCCTCTGGGTATAAAAAAAAAAAATCTAAACATCCAAAGAGTGAAATATTGCCCATTAACTACTTCCAGTGGTTGCGTGTTAATTGCAGCAATTTCATCGGCTTCCATAACTTTAGCTGTTTCGCTGACATAGTTACTATAGTATTCATTTTCATTGCGATATTAATGAAATGGATTAAATTGCAATAGCATTCAAATATTGAAGCCAATTATTCTTTATTTAAATATCATAAAAGCTGGATTCATATTTTCTGTCGATACCTAAGGGCGGAAATAGCTCGTTCCAGTTCCAGGCAAATAATTACTTTTGAGTTTTTATTCTAACCTTAAGCACTCCAAATGCATTTTGCCAACTCTTGCGGGAAGCATCACTTTCATAAAGTACGCCTTTACCTTAAAAGATTTTGTGAATTCTTTTCTGGTGTTCCAAATGAAATGACAATACAAGTCAGCACACTATGGGGATAAGCCTCAAGTAAAACGGCTCAGAGGAAGTTTAACTTACAGATAAACATTTTTTTCAAATTAATATTAATTGTTTAAGGAGATTGCAGTGATTTTTATAAACGTTCAAAACCGTTTTCATAATATCTCTTTTAACGTAATGCGAATGCCTTTGTATTTTGTTATGCTAGTCATCCAATGTTTTGACTTAAACAAAGATTTATCTAAAAACCATTATATCTGTTTGTATGTCCGGTTACTATCAGGATTTGTATTGTTTACAAAAATTTATAAAAAAGCAAAATATAGTGAACCTGTTGCGTAGACTGTCACATTTGACAGTACAATAGGTATGTACTCTACATACTGTATGCAGTACAATAGCTATGTACTCACCATTAATAGAAATGCCACACTATAAATCGTAGTAAAATCTCTTGGCAATCGTAAGCACTAAAGTGTGTGTGATTTAGTTTGATTTGCTGGGGAACATTCAAAAAGAAAGCTTTCGACATATTCTTGCGATAATTTAATCTGTTCATGAACATTTTAGTCTGTCGACTCGTCTATCCAGCTAACAGTCCATTAACCATGGCGTGATGACAATGATTTCAAAAGTAAAATAGGTATCAACTCGACTTTTGCTTTTAACCCAATCGACATGTCAGCACAGGTAAATGGAAAAAAAGGCACTGTGTGCAGCGCTTTTGGAAAATTACAAATCACCTCTGCGTTACTGCTGTAGTCAACAAGAAAGACGAACGAAGGGACATGCAAAACAAATTCTTAGTCTTAGTTGGGGAAGAAAGTTGAACGTGTGTGCCATTAATAGAATGATAACAAAAAGAGCAAAACCTAGAGGCACACAATAAAAAAAAATTGTTCTCTTGGCATTAACAACTAAACGTATGTTAATTTTACGACTTTAAAGGTAACGTTTAAAAAAATATTTTGAATTTCTTTTCATAAATATTTCAATCAATTGAGTTATAAATATTGGTCGATCGACTTGACTGCTCAAACTTTTATCCAAATATCATAGTATGCGTAAAACCTTCTTCTCGTATAAAAAGGGAAATAACTAGCAATTTGTTGTCCGCTTCGATCATGCGACTAGGCTCGAGAGGAAGGCGCTTCAAACTAAAGGTGCACTTCAATGCGGATGATCTGTCAATATCTTATAAATTAGATAAGAGAAAAATTTCAAGCCATATTTTTCATTCAAATTCGAACATCTTTTTATTATGTTTTACATAAACTTGACTAAGCTCAATATGTGTCATCTTGATGGATTTTTCTGGCGAAGCCATTCTACCTTTATATTGATAAAGCTTATGGGACTTCTCTAGGTGAAAAATTGAACAAAGTAAGTTTCACAAGCAAGTAAGGTGCAAGCTGTACGTTGGAGAGTATCTAGTCTGCCTCATCGAATTCTCACTTCTTCAGTTCGTCTTCACTGCGTGCTTGTTATTTTGACAGTACACTGTGGATGGTTTTTCTGTTGAAGCGCTTCTCTTCCAATTCTACGAAGCACAACGCATCAGATCATGTGGCTTCAATCTAGCCTTAGCCATCCGTCGAACAATTTCATCTATCGTGCATCGTGATCATCTTTGTTTATTGCTGTCATAGCTGAAATATTATTTTCACCAGCTTATGATGCCATTTGGGCTTATTTTCAAAGCGACGCTGCTTTCGATTGAACTAACAAACATCAAAGAGTCCCTATTGCAACTTTGACCCATGGATGACAAGTAATTGTTATGTCTCAGACACTCTACCTAATATAATAAACTGTTGAAATTTAAATCTTTCCAATAAACTGGTGGAAGCCTCAGAGATTCTTACATGTTATGTTATAGATTAATAGCAAGTACTGAGTCCATGTACGCATGTCTGTTCTGCCGATTGTCAATGGCTGCGGATTAACGTGATGAACACTCTACTGATACTAAGATACTATGTTCAAATTTGGCAAAAACATTGGATGTTATTGCAAGCGGTTTTGCCGGAAATCGGAGAAATTATTCAGCGGAAACGCCCACTACACAACAGAACTTGAGGACGCCAAACATTGATGTTGACACACAGATGAAAAAATTTGCTTAAACGAATCGAAAGGGATGCTTAGCATAATCAGAGAAGTATCCACATCAAGCGCTTTTGCATGTTGCCCACGTTCACAAAGCCTCAATATTTACTTACCACAATAGTTATAATATATGAATAAGGAATTATTCATCTTTCAATGGCGGCTATAACACTCTGACCAAAAAGCAAGACCAATGTTCAAGTTCATCATATTTCAGATCACAAACGTCTTGAGTGTTTCAGCTGGGCATGGTTTCGTGCGACACAAAAAGTATTTTTTCCGATTTTTACAATATGTTAGGAGACGATTTCTGACTGTCAATCGGGCTTGAAACGCATTATTACGGGATACGAGGTTTGGATGTACGCATACGATTCGGAAACAGCCGGAAAGAATATCTTATAAAAGGTGAGTGAAAACCTAAAAAACCTGAAAGAAGTTTCCTTCGATTGTCGTCGTGTTGTGCACTAAGAATTCCTGCCGCCGGGCCAAATTGTCAACAAAAAATATTATTTCAGCCTTATGCACCAATACTACTCGCAAAAAGAGGGTGGAATATTTATTTTCGGAAGGAAAAATTAAAGTGTTCTTACTTTTTGAACACACTAGTAAAAGTTCGATTTACAAGTGATTGGTTTTTCTTCCTTTATTTTAGTATCTACACAAAGCAATTTCGAAAGAATTCCATATTCTTGATATAAATGAATTGTAATTAAAACATTTCACCTACTGGCTTTATAGTTAATTCATGTACTTGGACGTGATGTGGTGTAGACAAACAGTACAATACAGCCATCGATACATCCTCCGGCTCCAAAGCAGACATCGTTTTATAGACTTCCGTTGTCATTTCAGTATTGACCAAGCCAGGGCTTATGCTCTATGGATATTAGTCCCCGGTTATTTAATACGCGGTAGAATGAACTTTAATTAAAGTATTTCATAAACCGTAGTTGCTTACCGTGATTTTAATTTTAGTTTGATTCTCGCGAAACTCTTGACGCAAAACTTCTGTCATTGCCACTGTAGCGTGTTTACACATGAGATAGATATTAATAATTGGCATAACACTCGGACCAAGGTTAGGTATATTATGGCCAAGTATGCTATTAATCAACACTAAATGTCCGTTTACGTTACGCTTTTTCATCGAATTAAAAGCACGTCGAGCACAGTATACCATACCCATAACGTTGGTCTGTAACGTTTTTTCCACATCATTAATATTCATGGTCAACAATTGTCCTTTAATGTGAACACCAGCATTATTAATAAGTATATCCACACCATCTAAGTGCTCTTCAATCCAGTCGAAAGCTTCATGCACTGATATCATATCGGAAACGTCACACTTGATAATATGCAGACGTGACTGCAAAGAGTTTGCAAGCGAAGAACGTAGTTGTTCCATGCGATCAATCCGACGAGCTAATCCCACTACTTGTAAATCAGCTTTCAATAAGCTCTTAACTATAGCGGCTCCAATGCCTGAACTAGCACCGGTAACCACAGCGCACGAATTTTTCCAACGTTCCATACTTGCGCTGTATGACTTGCCCCAAACAACACTTGTACCTGAATGTTTAAGCAAACCATAACGTTTGTTTATTCATTTGTTTATTCAATTACGAAATTCGATTGCAACAAGTATGAAAAACTATATTCGGCTGTAGGCGAATTTTTTTGTATCCATTATCTTTGTATTAAAATGGAATAAGCAATTGTTTACTGTTTACTTTACTGCAATTTTTATGAGTAACGAGCAACGTATCTATTTTTTTAAACCCACCACTTTTTTAAATATATATGCAACGCCCATAAAAAAGCTTCAGAGTCCCCATGTGTACATTCTTGATCATGCTCAAATTCTGAGTCGATTTAAGCATACCCGTCTGTATGTTCGCCTTTATGTCTATCTGATGGTCTATTTGCCTATCCGTCCGTCTGTTTGTCCGTATAATGTCTGTGACAAACATTCTATTGGAAAAAGTAAAGATATCGGTTTCAACCATCGCTAGTTCCTGTATACAGACTTATTAAACATGGCCCAGATCGGTCACACGGTACAACGTATATTGTTTTCGAAAGCAAAAAAATTGGCCCCTTTGCTTTTTACTCAGATCTTAAAATTGGTATAGTGATAAAAATTTTCATTTGCACGGAAAGCGCTTTTAACAAAGCGAAGATGGTATTTATACCAAAATTTATGTATAACTGCAATATCTGCGTAATGTCTGTTGTAAACCTTCTCCTGGGTTGCCTTCAAAGTTGCCAGTTACACCGGGCAAAAACCACTCAAAGAAGACTCCTACATGGCAAACATAAACTGAGAAAATATCTGCTTTTTGGTCGTTACTTATAAACTGGCATAAGTCCGCGATAAGAGTTTTCCCTTTTATTCCGCAAAAATTGGAATAATTATCTGTCTATTTATCTTATCTCAACAGAGTATGAAAATTTAGGTTTTCCGTTGTGGTAAAGATGATGAACAAAAAAAAAAAAATGGATCACAGCCCTGTAGATTTCTCTTAACTCTTTTGTTTTGGAATATGTTTTTATTTCTACATGATTCGGAAGGAAATCAAATACGATCTAAAAAATTATATACAAGTTATAAACAACTTCATGTCCACGATACGGGACTTCTTTTTGATTGTGAGCTTGTGAGGCTCATTTTGGTATGGATTTCTAATAGAAACACGTTGTCCGATTAGGTTTGAGCTATAGATCGTATTTTCCGAGGTGTTGTGATTATATGGTCTCATGTTCAGGCGTGAGAGTGAATTGCACGCAGTCACGTTTAGGGCCATTCCCCACAGTGTCATATATTGAAAACATCAAAATTTCATTTTTCTAACCCCATTCCTCATAGAAAGCTTCTTGGTGAAGAAAAACGCCTCTTTAAGAAAATAATATTTAGTTTTTAACATTTTAACATTGCGTGTTTAAAATTCGTTCACAATAGTGATTTTACTATTGGATTTACTTTACTAAGGTTTTCCATAAAAGGTGAGCCTTTATATGGCAATAAGACGTGATTTTTATAATTTTATGATGAAAATAATTGTAGAGGGTACTAACAATAGCCCGAAAGCAAGCATTTAACTTTTTTTGGATCATTTAGGCAAACAAGGCAATCTTGGCACTGAACTTGTGGGAAGCCTTTGCATATATTTGGCTCTGCCTTTTGCAAACATCGCTCTACTACTAGGTCTAGCTGCGCTTCAAACTTTTCAAATTTCATCTGTGACTATTACAAGAATCTATTCGTGTATGCCACAAATTCCACTTTGCTATTACAGTTAACCAACACACAAACCTGCGGATGAGCGGATGTGTCTTATATTAATCGAGAATACACATATATATATAATGCGATTGCAGATAAATACTTTCTTATGGTATAGATGAAAGGTAAGGAATCCAGTCATCTCATACGTACCCGGGGGTGAATAAAATTTAAAATTTAAAGAAATTTGTTATTCAATCATTTATTTCTTGCTTGTGTATTAATAAAGAAGAACTCATTGTGTTGTCGATTTTACAAAATCAATGTTTATCTTAAATTCATTCAATTCGTTCACATTGCCTCATAAACTCACAAAAGGCATTATTGATATATTGTTATAGATTGCAAAGAACAATGCTTTCTTTGTCTGATTTTATGTGTCCTTTTCTTTTTTTTTTGCCTTCTGTACACCAATGAGTTTGCCTTGCCATTGTTGGGAAAATTATCTTTGAAAAGATTTGTGCAGCCAATGAATTAGGGATTAAAGCCTTTGAACACGGCAATCCAAATTGAAATATTTCTGCACTGTTATATTCAATCGTAGCAAGCGAACGTTGCGATGAGTTACGTTTCTCATTTCTCTGCTAATGAGAGGAAGCGTCATTTATTTGAACTTTGTTTAAGATTTTAAGTGCTGGATCCCAAAAAAATTTAAAATTATCTTTCGTGCACATAGTACCCGGAACTGGTCATTTAAAGACACTCGCTATGATTTCTTTTTGCAATGGTCGCACAATTATAGCCATAAAGGTACAGATCGACGGATTGTAAAGTAAATCGAAGAAGACAAATTTTATGCTCAAGAGCGGTCGTATCCCTTTTTAGTCGTTTATAAAGTGTAAAATGGAAATAGGAAAATTTAAAAAAAAAAATTGTAATTATTAATTTCATTTCGATCGAGCATTTTTTTGAGATTCGTCTCAAATCATCTTCATCATCTTCCCCATGAGCTCATGAGAGTTTGTTTCGATGGTTGATGTGTAAGCAATATAAACAAAAACTTGTTATTTAAACTTAAAAACCACAAAATGTTGGGTAAAATAGTTAATGTACTGGCACTTACAAGCAGTTAAGGTTCGCAACAGAAATGGTTATAAATTTTGTAATTTGATTTAGTTACTATATCATAAAAAAAATTAATAAAAATTGTATTCGGTTGTGATTAAATTTTTTCTATTTGTGGGACTTTTCTATTTTTGTAGAACAATGTTGTGGAAATTGACGTCATGTATCTGTTGAAGTTTGTGAGCGACGTGAAAGAGACACGAAAAGCGATTCTCGGTTTTGTTTGTGTGCGATGTGCGGGCATTGCCGACGTGTTCTTTGACTATTTTCACATCCTGTTGCTACATTTTAATTTTTGTGGAGGAGAGAACGTTTACCAAAGATACTACCTTGGTTGGCAAACGGACAGATGGACAGACAAAACAAACGGACATGCTTAATGTATGCCGTACTGGTATTCTATGACTGACAAAAATTTATATACGTTTTGGGGTTTTTGAAGCTTGCTTCCGCGCCTTATAAAGGTTTTGAAAAAGAAATAAAATTTTCATATACTATAATTTTGGGTAGGCGTGGTCAATTTTTGCCATTTTCTTAGAGATAGACCATCGTCCACAGCATATCAATTCCAAAGCTTGTAGATTTATTTTACTTTATGAGCAATCAGCAAAAACTAATTTTTCATCCCTATTGAGGTTCTCCCAGGTTATGCGGCATTGCAGGTGTGCCTTTCGATCAATCTGGCCGATATTCAATGCCAATCTACTTGCAAGAACATCTATTACTCCTGTCAAATTTGAAGACGATTGCTTCATTTTGCGGCATTTGCGGTATATATATATATATATATATATATACTTTGGGCGATCTTTGAAGCTTCTGGGCGTTGCAAACGTTTTGACAAAATGAATTTATCCCTCATCCTTCGCCGACGGATATGAAAATAGAAATTTTGCACATGCTTTTGGAAAGAATTTACGTTGTGAACCTCCGTAGGCGGTTGGTTGTCGTACCACGACCAAATGTATTGAGGACTATTACTACTATTACTATTACTACTACTAAAAATATATAGTGGACTGGATTAAGCAATGAAGTACTTATGCGAAGGGACGTATTTTGAACCCCACGAGAAAAGCTTAACAAATAAATTGCATTTTTTAACAAGTCCGAACACTTTTTACACAGAAGACGTCCATTAAATTTGCTACCTTATATATCTTTCTTGTTACATGTAAATTTTTCTCTTTTTTTACTTAAGCATAGATGCGGTAAGAAAAAAATGCAACTCAACCATAAAGGGACAATTATCGTTCAATGATATGAGCTGATAGGGTGAGATGTGAAGATTTTATACGAGCACGTCGAAAAGTGGAAAGTACAAGGGAAAAAAGAGGATGGAAAAATGTAATGAGTTCGTCTTGTTCCCTTTGTAATATAAATTACATATAATTCAGTCTTTCAGACAACTAATGGTTTTGCAGATGCTGTGACCAAGTGTAATCGTGATCGTCCATCCTTACAAGAAAGAGAAGTGATCAAAGCTTATCACACCAGTTTCCTACATTACAATTGAATTTTTCAGAGACCTGCTAGAAACTTAAAAAACAATTGAAAAATAAGTGAAGACACTATAGTAGGACGGAGCCCACCATCAAATGTTACTCTCCACACTACCATAGAGTTATTCAAATAATGACTTTCCCAAAATAAGGCTGCGTTGACTCAAAACACAGCAGTGTAACAAAATTTTACAAGACTAATCGATTCGGAATCACTTTCTCTTCGGATCGGTGTGATAAAAAGTAGGTTTAACGCAATTTCTTTCGGGCGTTGCATATATCCGCACAAGCTCAACATACCCTTGTACCACAAGTGGAGTAGGTCATAATAATCGAAGACTAATTTAAAGAAGAACGCGAGACAGTTCAATGGAAAAAGAACTGCAGCGGTGCAGTGGAAAAAGTTTTCATGGCATTGCATAAAACAGACTTAAGTAATAAAGATAAGTGGCTGTAAAACTGTTCATTTTTCACTCGTAGCTTGACGTTACGATACCACAGAAGCTTAGAAAGGCAATTTACGTACCAATATTGCCATGATATTGAAAGTAAAGCAGCTTGCAAAAGCTTCAAATTTAATTACTGTAGTAATCCTTAAAATTGCTTTTCAAGTTTCATTTAATCCGAGTATTATCAAGCCAGAGTCATTTAGTACAATAGTCCCAGTCTATTCCAGTTTCCCATTAATAATAAAAAACTCAATTAGA